TAGGGGAGGCCCCAGTACTGAGACTTTGGGTACTCCAGCTGATACCGTCCGGCTGTGTTAGCTCTCAGACCTCTAAGAGCTACTAAGATTTCTTCGTCTGTAACCACAACAATTTGAGTGCTCGTTGAGCTCTGATCAGCAGACTCGAGCTCAGGGGCATAAATGGCATAAATAAAACATAATCTCTTAAGTGTTTCCACAATCGACTTAAGCTCCAAGTGATCCGTAGGCTGCACCTGTTTACCTGCGTATAGTTTTAGACTCATTCACGTTCATTCCGTATGAACGCAATCTTTTTCCGCGCTACTGAAGCTAGAGACTTTGGAACACATATTCGTGTATATCTCCGATTTATAAAGTGTTAACATTTTCCCGATCCGCCCACTAGGGGCGTAGCAAATCGGAAAATGCTTTTTCCGATATACCAGAAATCATGTTTGTTGAAGAGCTAGAAAGCTGAAATTTGGTATGTAGGTTCGCGCCGACCACCCAAGATCACAAGCTATGGCGGATAAGTCTCCGCCCATTGGGGGCGTGGCAAATCGGACGAAACTGTATCTCCTAAAGTTATAAACCTAGAATGCTGCACGTAAGCTGATGTTTTAATTCTATAAAGATGGGTGACAAAAATTATATATCTACGCCCATTAGGGGCGTGGCAAATCGAACCTGAAGATATAGTGATTTTTCGAATTCGGCTATATTTTGGACATTATTGATGCTAGAGACCTGAAATTTGGTATATATACGCGGGTTGACCACCCAAGTCTAACGAGTTATGGTAAATATATGTCCGCCCATAGGGGGCGTGGCAAACCGCAAAACATTATATATCTCCTACAGTTTAGAAGAAGTTAGAAGCTTCAAATTTGGATAGTTGAGTTACTGGTAGTCTCCTCTATCGATGCCCCAAAAATAATCTTTAAGCCTCTTTAGTGGCGTGGCATATCGAAAAATACCCTGTAATTTTGACATTTTTTGAGCGTAAGAATTCAAATTTTGCATTTAGGTTACCGGTTGCTCGTGCCAAAAATGAGGAGTCTACGGCCACTAGGGGCGTGGCAATTGGCATTTATAGTGCCCATATTGCGGCATTTATATGCGTCAGCCATCTATTTATGTATTTGTTCACATAAATAGGCTTAATAGGAATTGATAGCACGGAAGGAAACATTTTTATAAAATTAATAAAATATAAAAAAGCTAAAATAACAAAAATTTGCAATTTACACAAACGAGTTTTCCGCGGGATTTGAACTCGCACCCAAGCCAAATAGCATGTTTGTCAAAATAACTAAAATAAAGATCGCCGGCGCTTCAGCCTACAGCACCAAAGCGTCATTTCGAACAACAGTAGTTAAAACTAAATCAGTGTAGCGGCTGGAAATTCAAAAACAATGCAAAGAAAAATCAATCGCAGCGAGATTCTTAGAATATGCTAGAATACGCATTTATGTGTACATATATACACACATACTAATGTGCGCGTGTATAAGGCTGGAATGCTTGATGCTATGTGTGCAGACTTACATATATAATTATATATACATATGTATGTATTTGCGTATATGTATTTGAGGGCTATTTAAGAAGAAACAAACTTAAACTTAGAGGTTCGAACCTCCTCTACTCTAACATTACTTGCGTCGCCCTTAGCACCCGCGCCACTGCTTTGCTCGAGCAATCAGTTGCTAAAATAGAATAGCTTAATAAGAGAGCGTCATCAGACAAAACTACAGTAACGGCTAGAAAGTCCAGAAATCAATCGAAATTCTAAGAATGTGAGAAAAGGCGCGCTTCTGTCTGTACGCATAGAATAGACGATGAGTGTGTGCACAAGCAAAGGAAAATCGCGCTGATCTGCTGTTAGCTTGAAGCCGGTATCCAATGTATGGATATAAATATATAATAAAAATCAAAATTGTATAAATTATGTATGTATGTAATTTGAATGCAATAGCTATCGATGATTTTCCAATTTTAATGGCATCATGCCGTGTTTTTTGCTGCGCACTAGACTTGAAAATTGCACTATATACTCTGGTTGACAGCGTTTGGGCTGTGAATGAGTCTTCTGCAATCGGTATCGCCCGACTGCAACGTTCTTACTTGTTTTAACTACTATCTTGTATGCTCTGCCCCAAGGGTCATATTCGGCTGAGTCACACAACTCTAAGAATCATTCTCTTTTACTTGTCCGAATCGCCTTCTTCAACTGTTTTTTAGCTGCCTGGTAAGCTAACTGTTTCTTAGAAAAAGTAGACCTACCATTTGGCATGCTCTGGCCTCAGCATTACCAATTGTGCCCAGAGACTGAATGGCCTCTGAAAAGGCCGCCGAATCAAATGTATCCAGCCGATATGATTCCCTCCACAAGGTTGACGCCCTGGCAGGTGGCTCACCTATGGTGAACAGAAGTGCCGTATGATCGCTGCCCTATAGCTATCGCAATGGCTCCATGTAGATTCCCGAAAGAGGGATGAGGTGACAAAAGTAATGTCAAACAGATCCGTATCTAGCCCGATTGAAGGTGAACTCGTGGCCAATGTTGAGCAGTGCAACATCTAGTGTCGCGAAAATCTCCAGTAAGATACGGCCTCTGGCATTTGTTGTGTGGCTACCCCATTCTAACGCCCATGAGTTAAAATCTCCTGCTATATTGGGCTTCCGACCCCTAGCATCCTCGGCAAGCTCGTCAAGCACCGTTGTGAACTCACTGAGCTGCATGCTGGGGGCCAGGTAGCAACTGTAGAGCCATAAGTTGCTGTATCGGCCACGTACGAGCCCATTGAATGAGTTAGCATTCGGAAGTACATTCGTTGAGTTGCCACATACCCACAACACCGCTTTGCCATTAGCATCTGTTGACCATGTCCTAGGGCAGCTGAACCAACAGTGATGAGACTCACTGAGAAATGCTACGTCTATATATTTTTCCCTTATGGTCTGCTTTAGCAACACAATAATTTAAATTAAGCTGCAGGAACCTTAACATTTCATTTTACGGACAGCCTCACAGTAGGATGGGTCCGTCTGTTTTTAGCCTTTTCGGACGCAGAGGTTGCATTATGGAATTGACAATTGGAAGAGCAACCATAACTCTTTGCTGTCCACCAGAACCTGATCGAAGTGATTTGATAGCCTCAATGGAGAGTGAGCTATCCTTCAATTCCACCCTAATTGCCTCGAAGATCTCCTCTTTGCTCGCTAATTCATCTAGATCACGAATCTCAATTTGAGTTGATTTGGTAAGTGTTTTAACTACCGCTTGGTCACCCAAGGTCTTGCCTACAGCTTCGCACAGAGCCGCTGCGCTATGCTCTGGCTTCCTACTCAGTTGCAACAAAAGGTCCCCCTTAGCTGTCTTCCTAAAGCCTTGAACGTCGCCGCTCAGATGTTTTAAATTTGGGTCGCTCTTGACTACACGAAGCATGTCCGCATAGCTGCAACCACCCACGCCTGAAATCGGAATTGCGTCAGCTTTTGGTCATTTCTGAATAGGCTTGCTTCCTTAAAAACTGTTCAGCTGTTCGGGTATATCTGTTGACCTGCCTGGTTTGTATTTTCAGCTGTAGCCCGAGACCCATTGGACTAGCCTAACCAGCTCCTGTCTCATTAAGGCCGCTAAACCCCAGACAAACCCTCTAGGGTAACTCCTATTTGAGCTAACGCTTCTTTTAGTGACTTGGATGCCTGGCACTCAGCCACTGGAGACTGGTTAAAAGTCGGCGTGTGCGTCAACGCCCTCTGTTGTTGCTGCGGTGATCGCTGCAACGAACTACCACAAGGTGAAGCCTGTATTGGGCAACGGCTACTAATATAATTTGAGTTTAGAGACTCAGATTAACTACAGCGAGAGCCCAAAAGTATGCACAACTTTTAATAACTGCGACTTCGCTCCAGAAGTTAGGTTGCTGTCTTTGCTAAGACTTAGGCACTCACCAAAGTTAGTGAGCAGTTAGCTGGTCATCCGCTGCAATTTCCAGCCCTGACGCCTGCCCCACTCTCTTGCACCACTGAGTGCAAGAGTTACCCCACGAACCGCCGCGCAGTAAGTCTCTGGTAGTTTTCGAGATCGCTGTGTACGTTGTGCTCACAGCATACACGTTTTCTTTAGATCTTTCCACATTCACAGGGAAAAACTCGGAACAAGCTATAGTCAACGATGGATTACAATAACATCGACCGCACTCCACGAAAACGCAACTCGAACACGTGTAAGAGTGTTTATGCGTGTGTGCGTGTGTGTGTGTGTGTGTGTGGGTGTGTGTATGTGTTTGTGTGTATGCGTGTGTGTATATGCGTGTGTGTGTGTGCGTGTGAGTGTCCTATTTCAAATACTAGAAACATTTGCACGTACAGCAAGACGGACATTGCTAATATACTCACATCACATTCGTGAATAAAGTATAAAAACTAAACAAGTAAGAAAGCTCTAGTCGAGAATGCTCGACTACGAGATCCCCTAAAACCTTCGAGCAATAGCTATTTCAATAATTTTTCGCGTCTTTCTGCTTACACAAAACACACGCACACACACACAAACACTCATACGCACACACAAACACATAAAAACACGCATACACGTGTTCGAGTCGCGTTTTCGTGGAGTGCGGTCGATGTTATTGTTGATTATAGCTTGTTCCGAGTTTTGGAGACTTTTTGGAGACTTTAGCTTTAAAGTTGTAGGAGATATAATTTTATAACTGATTTTCGATAAGGTTTTTTATCGATAAAAATATCGGGAGGATTTATCGATTTTTAAAGCATAACTAACTATCCGCATGGTATACACGGAGATTTTACGAAAAAAATTTAGGTCTCTTGTATCTTCTGAGATCGACGCGTTCAAACATACGGACAGACGGAACAAAAACCATTATACCCTGATTTCCCATTGAAAATGGGTTCAGGCTATATTAAATATACAAAATATTTAAATATGATAAAATTTGATATTATATGCACTTTATCGAATATATGTAAATATTTACTTCCAGTTATCGTACCATGGGCTACGACTTTGACTCAGCTATAAATCAGCCCGAAAAAATTATAACAAAAGAATTACAAAACTATTCTTCTAGCAATAGTTCAAAATTGGACAAATACCAACAAATTTTTAAAACGGAAACAGCAAGAGCGACCGGTAATCATTTAAAGGCGTCAGTAAAAGTGCTTTTAGCGGAACAAAAACATCAATCGTTTTTGCAAGTACTGCATGACAACCAAGTTACGTTGGCAGGACGCAAATCATTTTTTACAATCAATATTCGGACGCAGCCAAGCTCTTTGCAAATAAATTGCTCCAATTGCTATAGCCGCAACCCAAAAATTAAAAAAAATGACCGGGAGAATTATCGATGGTGTCGCTGGAATCAGAAGTATACGTCCAGGGGACGTAGCAGCAATAATGGAAAATCTAACGATTTTGCTGGAAAATCTTTACTGGCTGGAATACCCACGTGCCATATTCAAACTAACATAACAAATGCTACAGGTATAGACAAAAATAATTTTCGGCACCAAGAGAATTTATACAATGTGTGTATGGAGAGATCTTTTGCCTATCTAACGTTATGCATAAGCAATATCGCCAGATCTGTTGTCCCCGTAACTATGTCAGCCGCAATTCTTTCGAGTCTGAGCACCACTTTAGGAGCTGGATATCAGTATATGGCACAGCATTACAAACAATATAGCCAATCGTTTAGCTTTTATGCGGCTTCCAGTGTTATATTGATGCTGTGCTATCTGACGACCCCATCCGCGGCTGCTGCTACACAATCGGAAACGGTTGCCATCGATAAGCATCCAATGTAAGTAATTTTCGCAGAAGCCTAGGTAACCATTTATTACTCATTCTTTCAATGTATATTATTCGCCTATCACTTTACTCCAAAATTTATATTTGTCTTATAAAATTCTTTCATTCACAGCATCGATTGGTCAAAGTAAGTTTTACATTTAGGCAATTAGCAACTAACAGGCAAATCACGAAAACATCAAAATCAAAATTAAAAAAACCAAATAAAAACCATTATTTTTTAATTTTATTAACCGTTTTATTAATAATTGTTAATTTTTTATAACAATATATTGTTTGTTATATTATATTTAATGGGGCTCACTATATCATGTGTTACAGCGACTATATTTATTTCGCTAAGCCTCTAACCCTTTTATATAATATATATTTTTTTTCGTTGAACCAATAACAATTTTATACAGTTAGAGGTTACATTAATATGTAACCCTAATGAGTGTGTAAAACTATTAACTTTAAGATCTAGGTCTGATTTTTCACGCTAAGATACATAGGTACGTCATTCCATTCGCCACATATGCTTTTTATGAATGTACACAATTCATTCAGCATCCTTATGGCATAATCCTTGAATACAAATAATTTTAATTTAATTTATACTAAGAGCATGTACTTCAAAAATAATGTATGCATTTTATATACCCATAAATTTAACTATATACATATGTGTATTAATAATAATATAAACTATAATCAACTTAATTACATTTTTAAGGTGTGCAAATATCCTAACAACACAATTGAAATATGAATACTATTTAGTTAAAATTAATATTGTATTCTTTATATGCAGATTTGACGAGTCCAGTTCAGATAAAGAGATTTTAGATTTATTACTTGAGAAGAAACGATATGATAAACGATTACTGCCACCTGTGAATGGTAAGAGAGACTTTTAATATTTTTCAATTAAAAATAAAAATCAATGTTCTATATGTATACGGTCGCTATCGCAGAGTGTTCCATTGTAGACTGAAAGTGAGAAAAATCAATTTAAGCAATGTGCAATGTGGACACGACGTACATAGCAAATCAAAAGGCTGCCAAAGGGTAACTGTGCAATATACAAGGTGTCCAAAAGGAGATGACAGATGCGTCGGTCCGGTCGAAGGTCGAGTTTAAGTCAACTATAGTCAACTCTTTGGTCTTTATGAACCAGTGCCCGAAAATCTTTGTTTCCTTTGAAAAGTCATAAAATTACTTTAAAAACATTATAAACAATTTAGAATTTTATTCGCGAGGCTTAAACAATTTTAAATGAATTTTTAAAACCTTTAAATTGTTTTAACCAAACCCTTTCAAATTACCGATGGAAATATCGATAGTATTGACGGTTTTTTCCATCGCTGCAATATCCATCGAGTGGTGCCACCATCGATGAATTCCCAGCTCTATTGTGAGGTGCAGACTACATCGCAAAAGAAGAATCCAAGTGGTGAGCAATATTTCTCTAACAGGACATAATACTCCTAAGCCCAAATAGATTAGTGAATTCACAACAGAGCTAAATGAGTTCGCCGATTAAGCAAGGGGCTAGAAAAGCATTATAGCAGGAGATTGCCTTCACTAGGTCGGCCTCTAGCTAACTATATGTAGTTACGTATCACGACATCGTAGCATAGCTTCAGTGCCGACTGGGATCCCGAACCATGCGCTAATGCCCCTAAGAACGAGCAATCAAACTCTTTCATATAGTCTGGAAACTTCTGTCGCACCATTTGTTGGTCCTGGCGTAGCTTAGTGAGTCAGCGACATCCTGTCCCAACAGGTATCTCCTTGCTTTTGACCAAATGGCACGCCTCTGCCCCAAGTCCATAATTTCTTGTATCCATATATAGCAGCCACTTTCTCTGGGCCCTCCATGATTTTGTGACCCAGATATTTCATCTCTTTCTTAAAGAAATCGCCGTTTGTAAGTGTTGACCCTCGTATTGGCTACTTGCAGTCGCCGGAACACCTCTCGCAGGTTGTCTATATGCTCCTGACGCGTATTGTCAATGACGATGATGTCGTCCAGGTAGGGGAAGGCATGCGTCAGCATTTAATCTGATCCAGTGCTCTCTGAAATGTAGCCAGTGCTGAATGGAGTCCAAACGGCATCACCTTTCATGGTACAGCCCCTTTCCAGGCGCCATGAATGCCGTCAGTGGTCGCTGGCCTTTTCCATAGGTATCTACAAATACCTATCCTTCAGATGTAAGCTGCTGATGTAGCTTGCCTCTCGCAGCTGGTCCAGAATGTGATGCACCCGTTGTTCAGCTGCTGAAAATCCATGCATAGCCACCACTCTTCTTGCGGACCATGATAATCGGCGCGCTATGTGGGCTCGATGCAACCTTTGGCTAACAGCTCATCCACTTGCAGCAGCCAGAAATTCCAGCCCAGCACCAGATCGTGGCATATGGATTTGCTGACTCCCCAGACTAATCCTCATCTCCAGCTGCGCGTCAACCTGAGTGCAGCTGCGTATGTGCCGCCGAGTAGCATGGACCATGTCCACTCCTCGGAGCCTGATCTCCGTGTCGATCTTGGGTTTTTGCTGAGTGGAATCAATGGCCACGATCGCCGTCAACAGGCCGGCAACAAGCAGCAGTTAGCACTCCAATGCGCCCGTACTGTCAGCAGAATTCCAGCGCCTTGTTGCGGCACGCAAAAGCGCTGGCTGGATTTGGTATGTGTGTCCCTGGCGCAGGAGAAGGCTTCACTTCGTCGACCATTCGCCTCCAATATCGTCCATGGCCATCATGAGCGTCCGGCCAGTCGGTGGCTGCTTCCGCAATCTCTCCCGCTCCTTCTCCAACTCCTTGAACTCCTCTGCCAGATGCATGAACTCCACCAGACTCCTGAATTGATACGGACGGGCGTAGGCACTCAGATCGGGCAGGCTGTTGTTGTAAATTAGCGTCAACTCACGGGCTGCTCCATATAGATTTTGACAGCGCTTGACGTCATCTTCCAGATTTTCCAGGTAGCCTCTGGGCAAGAAGAACTTCTGGAAGCTACGCACAAACGTCGCCCACGCCGTCCAGAGCTGGTTTTTGGCCACGTAATATTTCAAGGGTATGCCTTTCAGCAGTTCTGGCAGCCGACCAGCCCAGGAACTCCAAACGCTTTGTGATGCCTTCGAAGCGGAAGCTCCACTCCACTTGCTTGGCCACCTTTGGATATTCTTTGGCTGTGCTGCCCTCGTGTCATTATTTCAGGCTGCGAGCTGGACGTAGCTCTCATCTCACGTCGTCCTCCACGACGGTCTCATCCCTGAGTGAGGCACGGCGACCATGCAGCTAAGCGATCCTCAGAGAGTAAGGAATGCTTCCTTCATTCTGCTCAACCCACTCTCCCAACTGCCGCATCACGTACAGTGTGCCTGAGAAGCTCACTGTCGTCCCCGTAATGTAGCACGAACTTTATGAAACTTTCATATCATGATTATAACAATAATGTGCGTACACAAGTCTCTAGTATTTGAAATACGCCTTTAACAAAGGTGATGGTGAGGGGTTAATTAAGGGGTGGGCGGTAAATTTTGATAAAAATCGAAATTTTATAAAATGCATATAAGTATACATAAAAAATTTGGAGAAATTTAAAGCAAAACTTGATATGTGCGTGCTATACACAGACCCAGGACTTTCAAGTCTCTAGCTCTTATATCTTCTGAGATCGACGCGTTCAAACATACGGACAGACGGACGGACGGACAGACGGGCCAACAAGCTGAGTCAATTTAGCCTTGTCCGTCTGTCTGTCCGTCCGTATGTATTGTGAAGTATCACGTTTTTCAGGGTCGGATTACGCCCCAGTATTACAATAGTTTTAAGCCCCTGTCTTAGAATTAAGAGAAATCATGAAGATATAAATTAAGCTAAGTAGATATACCCTTCGCATTCATATAGTGTAGAGTAGTAATAGGACGACGCAACAACAGACGGACGCAACGACAACACGGGCGAGAACAGAGAACAACTGAGGAAGTCTAACGGCGCTCAGCTAGCGCACAGTCTGCATGGCAACAGCAGCACTAACAACGACGAGTAACGAAACGGCGCGGCATCGGACAATATTAATGACAAACGGACAGCAACAGAAAGCGATGCATAAAAATCAAAACGGCAACCGAATACAGTCTACACCACGCAACTAACAATGCACACAAATCATCATAGAACCAACAACAACAACAACGGCAAGCAATAGCGCAGCCGCGGACAGCGACAACGGATAGTGACAGAAGCAATATCCCACGATGATTTTTCGGTTATCCCAAAACTATATTTTAAATACCCCGTGGCCGATATTTACAAAATATCCTACGACGGTATTCCAAATATCCTCCGACGAATTCTCGTGGTGTTGTGTAACGTCCCACGCCGATATTTACAAAATGTCCCACGACGATTGGAGTATCCTCCCATGCTGTTGAAACCAAATCCTGTAGTGATAGCAGCCCGGTAACTGTGATTATCCTGCGACGATGTGTATCCTTGGTGATTATTAGATATCCTGCGATGATGCTTTTGAAATATCCCACGATGACGCTCTGGAACGTTGCCCTGTGAACTATAAATTATCCCACGTTGATGCCCTGGAACGATAAGGTGCCCTGTGATGCGGCTATACACCTGCGAAATATTTCACGACGATGCACTGTAGCGATGAGATATCCTGCGAAGATGTGTGGCAACTGTGCACTATCCCACGATGATACATTGTAGCTCTAAAATATGCGCGGTCGATGTGTACCCGTCGATAGCTGGTAGACAAGCGCTCGATGTCCCACGAAGAATTGCTACGCTTAGCCAGTCTTGTTGTGCCCATCTCTCTCGTGCCTCGTATCTACGATGCCGCCGACACCCGAGTTCGACTTCGGCTACTCAGTCCGATCTTGTCTCGGTCCATTACTGACTCTCACCTAACAGTGCCGTTATCGGAAATTTTTCTTTGCTATGTGTTCTCCTACGAATTGTGCCGCTTCGTGGTTGCTACTGTACCATTTTGACATTTTCGGCGGCCATTTTGCATTCTAGAAGTTTCTGCGGCTTCGTTATTTTATATGATTCACATGCTACCTGGTTTTCCCCAAGGTCTATATGGTGCCTTGTATGGTTCTTTCCACGGGGCTTTAATCGCAGAAAGAAACCACTCTCATTAATCCCGAGTCCCTGCTCGTGCGCCACTTGTAAAGAAGTTATTCTACGGCCGGGGTACAACTCTCAGTCACCCCAGGGTCGTTTACAAGAATTTTTATAAATTTCGAGATCGGGATATGAGAGCGGATAGCGGGCCGAAAAGGCCGAACTATCCGTGATTGGGGCACGAAAATACAGGGAAATAACTGCAGCTACAATAGGAAGGCCTGGAACGCTGTATCCCAGCTCTGACGTATAACGCTCAGAAGCGGCGTATACTGCGACTGAATATCTAGGGCACGATGACCCAGCTTCGAGGCTAGCCACGTGGATCGCCTCCTCGGCCCAGCTCTGACGTATAATGCTCACGTTCACGATACCACGCAATACAACCAAATTCTGGACGCGCAGCTAAACTGCCCGTTGCTGCAATTCGGCTCAGCCAAATTACGCAACTCCTGCTGAGCTGCGGTGAGACACCTGTGACGAAAAGCGCCCCCCTGCCTAGCACACAGCCAAGCTGACCATCGCCACGATTCAACTCTGGTGTATAACGCTCAGATTTGAATCATGCGATCAGTGCTGTGGGCTGTGGCGAGACACTTGTATCCCAGAGAGCCAATCTCGAGGGCAGAATAGCCTGCGGCCGCCCAGAACCAGCTCTGGCGCTCAGAGTCTTATGTGGTGGCCACCGTGCACTCAACCTCGAAACTGGCAACTCTGGCCCACTTCGCGATATTTCACAGTCACTTG